TAAGCATCGTTAAATAAAAATAATTTTATATTTTAATATAAATTATTTATTATAAATTTAAAATATAATTTTTTATATTTAAAATGATTTATATATTTAAATATGGCTTAAATATGTTTTTAGTTCTTTAAATTTAGGAGTAGATTTGTTTTTGGTCCCTCAAATTTAAAATTGTTACTTTTAATTCCTGTAATTTTTAAAAAAAATTATTTTAGTCATTATATTTAAATTTTGTTAAAAAATTTATCAAATATTATTATATAAAATCTACCTATTGATGTCCTTATTATTGAAAAATATAACATTAAATCCAATTGATATTACATAACTATCTTCTTAATTTGTCATTTTTAGATATGTTATTGGTGATTTAAAGGATTAAAACAAGATTTTTAAAAATTATAAAGACTAAAAATAACAATTTTAAATTTAAGGGATAAAAATAAATTTATCATAAATTTGAAAAATTAAAAATATATTTAAAATTTTAAATATAATTTATATATTTAAATATATAATTTATTATAAATTTTAGTTATATATAATAAATATTTAACATATGTGATAATTATTTAACGCAAATATACCCGTTTTCAATAAATACACTTTCCTTAGTTAGAGTGTTAGACCTTAAGCCTTTAGAGGAGATTATTATTCATTTATAATCATAAATCAAAATCATATTATTTTAATTTCTTTTTAACAAAACTAAAATTTCGAAACCCTCTCACTTTTCACTTTCGTTTCTTCCTTTGTAGCGAGTGAGTTAGAACTTAGAAGTTAGAACTGAGAAATCAAGACGGTAATCGGCGATTTCGAAGCAGTTCCGTGTAATGGCGAGCCCCGTCGCAGTCGGCGGCGCTCTGACGGCGTACGATCGCCGGATTCTCACGGCGGTGAACGCCGGAGCGTCGAGCCTGTCTCTTGCCGGTTCCAGCTTCATTGTATTGTGCTACCTCCTCTTCAAGGAGCTCCGCAAGTTCTCCTTCAAGCTCGTTTTCTACCTCGCACTCTCTGTATGCTTCCCTTTCTTTCTTTCCGTGTTCCTCTTCATCAGATCTAAAACCCTGCGTTTCCTCTTTCCATTTTTTTAGTGTTGCTTCGAATTCCTCATTCGTTAGTTCAGTGACACTTTGCACGATTCGCGAAAACGACACCGTTAACCTCGCTTTAGCCTTTTCAATTGAATTTACTGATAGTCCAATTTCACACTTTGATGTGCTTTTTTTTTTTTTTTTTTTCAAAACCTAATTGCTTAGTGTTTTACTCGGTTGCTAGTTGCTTCTTTTCACTGGAGTATTCAATCAGTTTGGTTTTGGAGCGAATGACCATAAAATAACTGTTTCTGAAGATATCTTCTCACAAATTTACTGAACTTGTAAGTTGTAACTTCAAGTGGCACTAGAATTAGGAGCCTAATGATCTTCAACCTTAGCTTAAGTTAAACCTAATTTGTAAAAAAATAATAATTAGGTGTTTAAATATCCTTTAGTATGTTTAAGAATACTATTTATGTCTGTTTGCCTAATGAGCTAGTAGTTGTAGTAAGCTTCTACATGCATTATATGTGTTGCAACAGTTATCTGTTGTTATCAGCTTGTTATTGACTTCAATTGCAATTGTAAAAGCTACTCTCTGTTGATGAAAACTTTTAGATTGCTAGACAACTATTTAAGCATCCAAGTTTTGTAATCTTTTTTTCTTGTGTATGTTTTTGCCCTTGGTCACTTTGTTTTGTAATTGTGATGTTGTTTTGCAATTGAAAAGGAATTAGGCCCTTTGGCATTTCTGGAGCCATATGTGTCTGTTCATTTGCATTAAATGATCAGCTTTTACATTGGTTATTTGTATATTTATGCCTTGTTTTCTTTTACTGATCTGAGCCATAATGCTCTTTGTATTATGTTACATTACATTTTTGTCAATTGCAGGATATGCTTTGCAGTTTCTTCAACATAATAGGGTATACATGCTAGACCAAGCACAATTTTCTTCAAAGTATGTTTCAACTGAAGTTGTTTATTGTGTGACTGATAGAAGTTTCATTTTGATACAGGGACCCGTCCAAAGGTTTCTTTTGTTATGCTCAGGGATATAGCACGCATTTTTTTTGTGTGGCATCTTTTCTATGGACTACAACAATTGCTTTTACCCTGCACCGTACTGTTGTAAAGCACAAAACAGATGTTGAAGATTTGGAGGCCATGTTTCACTTGTATGTCTGGGGTATGGAGCTATGTTTAAATCAACTTTTAATATTCTAACTTTGAGAAATGGCCTATTTTGCAACAATCTTCACATTCTCTAACTTCCCAATCCCATGACTTTAAATCTGAAAATGATTTTAGAGAAAGTTAATGCAAATGGAATAGCTCCAAATCTTGGTTATGTACTTCCTAAGGGTAGTACGACTTCCAACTTTGGTCTAAGCTCAACTATTTAACTGGCAACTTGAAATGCTGAGAATTCATTTGTTTATTTTTTTAGGTACTTCCCTGGTTATGACAGTTATGCGCTCCTTTGGTAATGACCATAGACATTTTGGTGCATGGTGTTGGACTCAAACAGGTCGCGCAGGGAAGGCAAGTACTAGTAGGAATACATGCCACACATTTTTTTTTATAAATTTCCTGAAAATTTCTGCAAATTTCAATTTCCCCTCTTGTTTCTTTTGTTTTACATATGGAAGGGTTAAATTGTGGTGTTGGCTTTTGTAATCAATTTGTCAGCCCTCATAAGTTATAGTAAAAGTATAACATTATGTCAGTAAAAGTAAAAAAAATACCAAGTTGGGTATCCCCTGTCAATAATGGTGTAGATACCTCAATTACTTGGTTAAGTGTGAAGTTTTTTTCCCCTTGTTTAATTTGACATTCCTGTAAATACAAACAAACTGGACAATTTTGCCTGTGAGAATATTTTCCTTGTAGTTGTAGCAATTTAGTTATTCAAAATCAAATATGTAGAGTTATTAACATGAAAGGTGCTAAAATTGACCTATGAAAAAAAATCCATGCAAGAAATGTCTACTAGCAGATGAATTTTCTATACAGAATTCTATCCTCCTTTTTTAAGGGTCTAGGATGCTTTTCATTATGGCATTATCTAAAAGTAGTTTGTGCTATGAAGCATTAACACATATACACATTTTGGATGCTATACTTATCAGACACGTTTTGACATGTGTCTGGCACCTCTTCACCGTATCACAATTAGAAAATATGATTTTTTTTTGGTTTGAATACCTCTTTGATACAACATTAACACATTTCTTATACAACTTGGATACTAGCCCTGAGAGTGATTCGACACTTCTCTTAATTAAATACTTATCTAACACTTCTATTATAAAAGAATTTAAAAGGAATTTAAAAAGTCAACTTATTTATAAATATTGCAAGGCTCTAACATTTTTATATATTTATATATCATGAGGTTTATTTTCATAACAATTACGTGTTATTTTAACTTTTAAGAGATATGGTTCATCTTCTAAGGGTCATTATCATATAAGAATTGTAAAGATTATGTATATATGCCGTGTCCTACATTTTGGACATTAGCCATGTCATGTTGTCCGTGTCATATCCGGTGCCTGTGTTTGAGTCGGTGCTGTATAGAGTTTGTGATGGTAATTAATATTAGAAAGAAAGCAGAATAACAACAGTCACTTCTCAATTTTCTGCAACTTTGCATTGTAAATCTACTGTGTATATGTATTGTGTTTTTCAGATTAGTCTACTATCTTTTCATTTTCCTCTAAAAGTGGATTCCTTTTACTATGCAGGCAGTTCATTTTGTAACATTTTACATGCCACTCTGGGGTGCAATTCTGTATAATGGCTTTACATACTTTCAAGTAATACGCATGCTGAATAATGCAACCCGTGTATGTAACTAATTTTACTGATTCTTTCTCAAACAAAAAACAAATTGCTGTTTTAGGCACTTTTTGAGACCTTATTTTCTTGTTTCTTGGCAAATTTCAGATGGCAGTTGGTATGACGGGCCAAGCTTTTGTGTCAGATACAAGAGATAACATGAGGGTATTTTATTCTATTGTCTTGAGACTCCAATATTGGAAATATAAAGATCCATACACGCGGATTAGGAAACAACCTCTCCCTCCTTGCCCTTCCCCCAAAAAATAATAAAAAAGAAAACAAGATCTGCTTTTATTTGTTTATAGCAACTATATTCTAGTCATCCTTAGTGCCTTTAATATTTTATAATATGTTCGGTCATGAGGCTTATTCACTGTAATCTATTCTTTTTTTGCAAATTCCTTATTTAGGCTAGGTTTATTTGGAATTAAAGGAAATTTTCACCCAAGATATGTACATTATAATGTATTTCTCACAAGGAAAATTTCATTGTTAAAAAGTAAGAATCAAAAGATTAGTACTATGTTCTTTGATTTCTAGTGTGTTTAGAGATGCTCACCCCTTGATTTCTTTTGTTGGGATTTTCATATGTAAATTTATATTCATGCTTAAAGCTCAAGAGGAACTACCAAAAAAAAAATTGCTCTAGAGAAAACTGGTATTACCTGTTTCATCTACATTCCCACTGAACTATAGTATTTTCTGTTTTAACACTGCAGGCTCTGAATCGCTGGGGATACTATCCACTAATTCTGATAGGATCTTGGGCTTTTGGCACTATTAACCGTATTCGTGATTTTTTTGAACCCAATCATAAGATCTTTTGGCTCACCTTTCTTGATGTAGGAACGGCTGCTCTTATGGTATCAACAAGTAACCTTGCTATTTTTAGCTTTATTTTCTGATTACTGAATGTTCTATAACTTTTCTGGATACTCAGCATGGTTGTCATTATTTTATAAATCCCCTCTTATAAACTTGTCTTCTCCACTGATCTCCTAGCATCCCATTGGGAGTTTTTTATACTTTTGAACAATCATACTTATCTTCTCTACTAATATGTTACTAACAGATTAAAATGCATTATCTAACTTGTATCTCAAATATATCTAAAATTATTTGATATTTGATATATTTCTGCATTTGGCTTAATTGCTGTGAAAATGTTGGTACAACTTGTTCAAAAAATTTATTTTGAAATCCTTAAACTAAAAATACAAATATTCATTTCGACATCACATGCTTAATGCTGTCTTATATAATTATGATTTAACAAGCTTATAGAAAGGTATTTTCCGGTGTTTGGTTTCTGAACCACTATCAGAGCAATAAGTTAAATGTGCTTGTAAAGGTCTAAATAGTGGTTTGATTTAATTCCAATTTAAGCAGCATGTTGTATTTTCTCAATGATTTTTCTTTAGGTTGACATGAAAAACAAGATGTTAATTCTTACAATTTAAACAAAAGTAGATGGTGCATAAGTTACCATTGTTTAGAGGAGGATATGGAAATTTAAGAAAATTTTTCTATCATCAGCCTTTCCTCAGCTGTATCATAAATAATTGTTAAGTTCATCAATACTATGGAAAGTTCCCCTGGTGTACTGGCGCACCAACATATTTAACTTATACACAACACAAAGGCATTGCATTGTATCCCTGCAGTTAATCACTTCCCGTTTTGCTGGAATGTCTTTTGCTTTTCCAGTAAATGTAATTGGCTTTCCTTGGTATAGATTTGATGTCAAGTAGTGAGTGAATCAGTTCAACATTGTGAAAAGTACTATTATGGTATCTTGCTAAGCTATGTCACTTTGTCTACTTATTGCAGGGCCTCTTTAACTCAATTGCTTATGGTCTCAATTCATCTGTTCGTCGGGCAATCTGTGAAAGACTGGACAAGTAAGTACTGATTCTATTAATCTTAGAGTGATTCCAATTGAATATATTTCATCTCTACTTTGGTCCCTTGAGTTTCAAGGCCAGTCTAATTGTAATATCTTCATCACCTATTCTGAATTTAACTTGTGCACTTTTATTGCCAACTTAACCACCTAGCTTTTTTGTGTGTACGTGTCTTGCTTCTATCCCAATGTTATCAAATAACCGTTATGGCGTATAATGTGGCATTTTTGAACCCCTCTGCCATTTGCTATCTGTTATTTCCTGTTTTATAAAGCGGCGTCCACCATATCCGCCATGGAACCCGCCATATCCGCCATGGAACCCGCCATATCCGCCATGGCACCCGCTTTATCCGCCATCGCGCCCGCCTTATCCGCCATGGCCATGGCTTCATGGCGCTCATGGCGGAATTCCTCCTCATCCTCTTTTTTTTTTCCCTCATCTTTTCTCTTGTGAAGCTCCTAAATTGCGAACAAACAACTATGGTGAGTCTTCTTAGGCCACCAGCCTCCAGCGACCTGAACCATAGCAGCCTAAGCTCCATAAAGTTTTCCAGCCAACAAATCCGGTGACCCATAATAGTTCTTTTTGTTTTCTGTTTGTTTTTTCTTCTTCCTTCCATTTCTTTATTTTTCTTTTTTTTTCCATCTATTTTTCATTTCTTCAGATGTTCATCATCTCTTTCTCTCTCTCTCTCTTATTTTATGTGATTGTTATTGTTCTTCATCTGTTCAATGTTTTTGTTCTCAAATTTTCAAAATTTTGGAATTTAGTTATCTATGTTTTAGAATTTCATTATCATGTTCTGTTATGTTTTCTATATTAAACCTATAATGTTGTTCCCAATTTTGTTTCACTTATAGCACAATGGTAAGCAGTAAGCACCCAACACTAAAGTCATGCATCCTAAAAGTCTGTTTTTTTATTTTTGGTTTTGTTTTTAATATATATATATATATATATATATTATTTTTGTCGGCCATGGCTGCCATATGTTTATGGTGGATTTTTGGCTTACAGACCGTTATCCGTTATTGATAACCTTGTTCTATCCTGCACGATTTGTGTTGTAGCTTAACACTTATGCAGCACTATCAGATAGAAAAACTGTAATCAGGTTGCTTGTCATCTTATTGTTTGAAAATTATGGGCAAGTCTGTGGGGCACCCACATTTGGTGCGCCTGCTCAGCACATAAAGTAGACCATTGGGTAGGTATTGTCTAAATATACGGATGTGATTTGAGGTCTGCTACATCTGGTGTCCGTTTTCACAACCTATATTTGGTGCTACCATCACACCTTCATTCAAAATCAATTGTTGTGAATGACGTTTATTCTTTGATTTGTTATATTGTTATATTCTCCATGAATTTTCCAATCAATTAGTAGTATTTTTTTCACTTAATTTCTTGGGCCAAATCTTGTTTTATTCTTCATTCATACTCTGGAATCAATCAGCCTCGGTCTTTTGTAAAGTCTAAATTGATTTAATTTCCTTTATTAGTAGTATTAATTCTTTGAAATATATTTTGTGAAACAATCTAACAGTAACATTGAAACACCATCCCATATATAAACATTTTCAATTTTCACCCCAGTAAACATCTTAAACTAAGCAAGAACATGTAAAAAAAACAAAAAGTAAAAAAGGAACATAATTTGAGTACGAACATTGTTCAATGAAGCAAAATACTTGTGTTCTTTAGAAAAAAAATTGTGGGAAAACAGTAAAAGCTGAAAAAGGAAACAGATCTCTTGAAAATAAGGATAAAATATTATAAGCTTTCCTATTCTGGGCAATTTTATAGACCAAGTATATACTATAAAGGCCCTATCCCAATCAATTTGTCCACATTCATGCCCATAAACAGTGTAATTTTTCTTTTGATACACGATATATAATTAAACAAAAAAATTGTCAAAAAGCATGGAAGTAACATATCATTTAATTGTGCAACACTAAGCAAGAACATAGACAAGATTCAAAAAGAAATCACAAAAGTACATGCACTCTGTAGCATAATAAAATGTTTTGTTTGCTCGTCAGTGGCAAATGCTTTGCTTGATAACTCATCATAGCTAAATGGTTTGCAACACATTACTGAATAAATTTTTGGGTTAGTTAAAAAATTGTGAAGAAACATGAAAAGAAGATCTATAGGTGGCTAGTTCAGGTTGTGCTTGACTGCTTGTTAGATTATGGAAAAGATCCTCTCTAGGAGAGCTAATGCCAGCTGGAACAAGATTGTTTCTTGTAGAGGATACTTGTAGTCCTAGATCATTAACAAAAGGATTTCTTATGAAAAAATATTTTTCATGCTAAAAAAAGGAATTTGATTTATTTCATATAACCAAATATTGAAGAATTTGAAAATATGAAACTTCTTTCATTTGTGGGAGTGTGGCTCTAGTCAAATTTGATGAGACAAAGATGCACGTTGCCCACCCCCGAGAGGGTGGTTTTGGGCATAGGAAGTCTATTTAAGGAACCAAAGGAGGGTATTGACTAGTAATTTAGTGAAAGGGACTGAAAGAAGAAATGAAATTATGGTGGGAGCAAAACGTAGGCTATGTGTTTGGTAACAAGGGTTAAGATCCTTGTCATAATGCATAGCCATCAATTTACTCAATTCTTATCCAACGGGGCATTTCATGCGTTGAACCAGTTCACCTAAAATGTCTGAATGAGCACTTATTTGGGGATAGTTGGTGCAGGTCTGAAATCTGAGGTTCTTGTTCTCTTTTTTCAATCTTATAAAAAGTGACGTCTATCATTCATTGAAATATGGGGGTAGTTATAGATGCTTCTTTCTTCTAACTTTTTACAGCACATTCAATTTAAAACATAACCAAATTTGCTTTTTAAATTTATTTTTTATGCTAGGTTCTGGCCTGAGAGATTAAACAGATGGCTCCCTAACAATTTGAAGTACAAGAACCTACAGCAAGAAAGTGAACTAGTTTTGTTCAAAACCGAAGATCAATAACAGCGAATGGACATATTGTGAACCTCCCATGTCATGTGACATTTCCTATTTTAGTTTACTGAGATGCTGTTTTCATAGAGAACAGAGGATCTGTCGGCAGCAAAATTTTCAGGCTGGTGAATCAGGGCATTCACTCACTGAATTATATACCGCTGGTGACCCTTCTCAAGCAGATCAGAGGATGGACCAGTTCAAGTGGAATCTGCTTCAGCTAATTGAAGACTGCTTGTGACCGCAGAGAGTGCTTTTTATCTTTTTTTGCAAAAAGGCTCAACGTCTCTCCGTGATTCATCTTTTACAAGTCTAAACATAGAGCTTTCATGTTACCCTTTGTATCCAATGCTAACTTGTGTGCAATTTTTATGTATTCTTAAGTTTCTTAGCTTTAACAGTTAAACAACTTTACGAAATTTGCTGTGTATGAGATTATTTCCCAGCAATGAATGTACTTCAGTTTGAAATATCGTTTTTTTTCTTTTTTCCCATTTGGTTCCCTGATTGCATCTGTATAATAAGCAAACTGTAAAACATCTAGATTTGTATCCATAGAACAGAAGATATAAAGTCTCCTGAAGTTGAAGCAGGCCTCCCTCAACCTAGAAAGGGGATCTTCAAAACTAGGTGTTAATAACTTAACATACATTGATGTTGGAGATAGTTCTAGAAAATATATAATTGGAAATTTATTTTCGGGGTTCCACTTTCTTGATGCATTTTATGACCTAACAACGAACACATGTACAGGCCCACGGCAACGGCAACGTTGCCCTTCCCCTCCCTGTTTCTCGTACTGGATGGCGATTATTTTGATTATATTTCATTAAAACTATTTCTGCTTTCTAAGACTAGTCAATAATATTTCATATCTGTCAGTTCAGATAGGCACAGCTTACTCACATGCAGAACCTTAAACTTTGCCACTCTCTACAACTGAGAATCTCCAACATATTCTCATTGGGACAACAGAACAAGATTTTTCTGCAATACATGATTGTCACACTTTTCACTTCACAACAACATCATTCTCCCCATTCCCAAATCAAAAAATTGCTCCAAAACAACACAAAACATAATTAAAACTTCACAATCATAACAGTACTCTGTGGTCATAACTCACAGGTGAATTAAAATCTGAACCATCCACCTTCACAATTACACTATTGTTACATAAATAAAACACATCACAAACACTAAGAACAAGCACAAGAATTATCAACAACAAGCGCAGAATCCTCCCCCTCATTCCTAAACAAAAAATACCCTAGCGTGAGACCCACCACAATTGCCACAAACACCCCTCCATTGAAGGACATAATCGCCAACATCAACAAATACCCGATCGCCGAGTTCACTCCGAACAGAACCGCTTCCGCGAACTTAACCCCCAACTTCGCCTCGTCGCCGGCCACGCGCCACCGCAGAAGAGGAGTGCGGATCTCCGGCGACGGCGTTCTCCTCCCAGCGGCGAAGAGCTTCAGGCGGATCCGGCGATTCTCCAGGTACTGGTAGAAGGCGGCGACGACGAGGCAGGCGAGTAGACTCAGAACGTAACTCGTCCAGGAATTGGTCTTCCATGAATCGATTAAGATGGTAACCTTTTTGCCCCAATAAAAAGTCATGTGCATCATTTTCGTTCAGAGAGGAGAAAATCCTTCCTTTTGTCTCTTGAAATTCGGTGTGTTTTGAAGAAATTTTTGGAGGGTTTTGAATTTCGTGTTTCCGATGTGACACAGTGAGAAAACGTTGAACAAAAAATGTTGATGTTTCACTAAAATGGTTCGATAAAAAAACTTATTGATGTGCTGTATTTTACATTAAATGTAATTATCTATATATTTATATATAAAAAAAAATTCAAACTAATTTTTATTCAGTATTACACTATTTAATAATTTTACATTAAATTTAAATTTTATAGATTCAATCGTTAAATTGAAAGTTCTTTATCTCTAAATTATGTATATAAAATTTTATATTAATTCAAGATAATTTGATAATTTATTTTTATAAAATAAAATTGACATAATATATTTATTTTAAAATATAATAAAATAAGAATATTTTTAATTTTTAAGTTGTTATTCAATTTTAACAAAACTTAATATAAATATATAAAATGATATGAAGTTATAATTTAATTATTAGATTTACAAAATTCATATATAATATAAAATTATTCAACAATGTATTACTTAGTAAAAATTAATGAGTATAAAATATAAAATAAGAATATTTTTAATTTTTAAGTTGTTATTCAATTTTAACAAAACTTAATATAAATATATAAAATGATATGAAGTTATAATTTAATTATTAGATTTACAAAATTCATATATAATATAAAATTATTCAACAATGTATTACTTAGTAAAAATTAATGAGTATAAAATTTGAAATTAATGTTGATTTAATCCAATTTAATTTATTAAATCAATTTAGTTCAAGTTTGATGATGACATAACAACATCAACAACAAAAATTACAACTCAATCTAGAAGTTTTTATCAATTACTACATCTGTAACGTGGTAAGTGGATTGTAGAGTTTAGTGGATGCTAGAGAGAAAAGTATATAAAGTTTTCTATGAGAAAGGAGCCTCATAAGCTCATTCTCAAAGAAAATCTTAGAGAGAAGTTTTAGAGAGAAGTTTTAGAAAGAAGTTTTAGAGAGAAGGACTCCAGGTCTGTGAGCTCCTTTCTCTCCTAAATTTTTTTATTTGATTCTTCTTTTTCTCTAGATCACTAACCTCTTTTGTCTTCTCTTGGAATTCAGGCTAGGAAGCTTGGTATTGGTGGATTGAAGTTCGCGGGTTGAGCTTCAGGAGAAAATTCTTCTTCTTCTCAGTTCTTGGCCATTTTAAGCCAATCTTCAAGTGAAGGAAGCTAGAATATGTGTTGTTTGGTTGCATGTGATTTTAGGAAATCAATTGATGCATGAATTTGGAGAATCCATAGCTAGATTGAAGAAATTCTCATTTTTCGAGGTTTTGGGAAAAATGGAATTTTTGGTGATTTTGATGCATCGGATGGGTGCATGTTGAAATTGAGTTTGTTTTAGAGTTGTATGGAGCCCATGCATTGTATTTCTTGGTTTGCATGTGGTTAGTTTTGTTGATTTTCAGGTGTTGGAGGAAATCTTCAAAGTTTTGAAGGTTGCTGTTTGAATTTGCGCCAGCGCGTGCATTCATCAGAGGCACCCATTTCTTGATCATGCTAGGCGCGAGGTTAGTTGCGCCGGGTGCGATTATGAATGAGGTTTCTGGATGAGTCTGAGCCGGGCGTGAGGGGAACCACGTTGGGCGCGATATCAGATAGTGGCTGAGTGAAGAATTTTACTGAGATGGCGCCTGGCGCAAGAGTGATGAGCCATGCGTGGAAGCTCTGGATGGTCTCTTTTTGGAGAGCGTCGAGCGCAGGGTGGGTGCGCTGGGTGTGGAGACTCATAGGAGTCTCTGTTCCAAGGACACCGGGCACAGGATGAGCGCGTCAAGCGTGGAGGAGTTTTAGGACTCTCGAGTTGAGACTAGACCGGGCGCTCTCAGGCTGCGTCGGGCGTGAACATGTTTATTAATGATTGTTTTGAAATGATGCTTAGGCATGTGTTGAAAGTTGAAGTTTTGATCATGAATGTATGATATATGATGTATGGAGGTATATGATTCATATGTATGCTTGGTAATGATATATATGA